TGCTGATAATCACCATCCAAACAAGTCTGGGAAAACTGTGTGGGTAAGGGTCCCAGCCTTGCTAGCTCCTACAGATTCAAGGACCTTGCCAGCTTACATCTGGCCCCCAGCAGCAGAAGAAAATGATAATGTTGACATGAGCCAGGTACTATGCTGAATGTCTTATATACATGAACACTTTTATTTATCACATCAATTTTATGAAGCAGTTGCTGCAATTGTTTTCATTTTACAGAAAAGAAAGCTGAGACTAGTGAGATAAAGAAGCTTTCCTGTGGTTGCACAGTAAGTAACAGGATTGGGAGTCAAGCCCAATATTGTCTGGTGCCAAAGTCTAAGTGGTACCAACCACTAGGCTCTCCTATCTCCTGAATTTTGCCCAATTTGAAGATGTGTTTAAGTTTGGCAGATGCCAGAGACGAAGGGAAGAAACAAGCCTGGTGGCATTTCCTGGGGTATCCTGATTTGAAGGGGCAGGATCATGAATATTCAATAGAGAGCATTGTTTCTGCTGGGTTATAAGGCTGAGGGCTGAGGCAAGGCACCTTTTACAATTCCAAGCACTAGAGCCATGCTCTGAAGAGCCATGAGCAGGCCACTGGGCTGAAACCATGAAGATCCCAGAGGAAAGAACTTTGGACTTAAAATACTACTTTTCTACAACAATCTTTGCACTCAGGGCTACTCTCCTCTTTTCCTGGAAAAACTGATAGGACTCACTGAAGGCCAACTAGTGAGTTAGAGCACAACTGAACCTAGAATCTAGTTTAGCAAGTCTTATTTTTTTTATTTGTTTTTGAAGCCAAAAGAGCTAACTCTGCTTAAGTAGAAAAAATTTTTTCTTCAAAGTGATATTTTATGAGGGATACTATTAAGTGCTCTCACATTGTTGAAGAAGACAGTTTGCTTAAGGGGTCAAAGTTACATGACATTTGATGGTGTCAGGCAAGGGTCCAAGAAAGGCTTCAATCCCTACACAGACCATCTACCTCTCTCTCTAAAGTCCCCAAAGAGAGTGTTTCCTGAGAGAAATAAGCAAGATATCTTATCTCCTTCAACCCCAATGCAAAACTCTATTTAGTTGGTTTAACTCATGTAGGAGGATACTTTTCCCCACAATAGAAAGGTTTAAGTAGCTTAAATGTTTAACAGCAGGCTATAAAGACTACCCTATATATTTTGTCTCACTGCCAATACTCAACTCTTGAAATTACAAGACCAATGGGAGAAAAAGTTCAACCACTTTTTCCAATTGTTTAATGGGCTTACTGTGGACTAATTTCGACCCTGAAATCTGATCAATTGTCCTTGGACATCTTGAAGGATGGAGAGGGTCCCAGAAGTTTTGAAAGGAAACAGAGTGGTCTTCTTCAGCTTCCAGAGTCACACACCTCTCCTAGTATCATGGGTTACGGGGCAAGGGGGTGGGGGGGCGGATATCCTAATTCTGCCTAAATGTTGACCTCACTTTTTACGTCTTAGAACTCCTTTGGATTGCTTTAAATTCACCTCCCAGAGTGAATTCATCCTCTAATTCTCTGGAGAACTGATTCTGAAGGAAATAAGTAAGGTTTCTATTACCTGAGGAGAGAACTCCTCAGGTAAGGCAAGTCTCTTTGTAACCTAACAGAGCTAACTGGGATTATGGGAGGAAGCAAATATTCCATTCTCAGCATCCTGATATCATTAACATGTCTTCAGAGGGAAATACATTTTATGCTAATGTGCCATTTCCTTAGATAGCACTGTGATTCAGCATTTAATACTGATGAATGCCATCATGTCTAAACCAGCACTATCCATCCAGTGTGGTAGCCACTAGCCACATGTAACTACTGAGCACTTGAAATGGTCTGAGTGTAAATTGTGATATGCTACAAAACACATGATTTTGAGAACTTAATACAAAAGCATATAAAATATCTCATTTTTATATTGATATATTGAACTGATAATATTTTGACTATATTGGGCTAAATAGAGGGTGGGGAAGCAAAGGATAAAGGGGGTCAAATATATGGTGACAGATTATTTGACTTTGACTTTGTGTGGTGGGCACCTAATGCCACATACAGATCTTATAGAAATGCATATTTGAAACCTATATAATTTTATTAACCAATGTCACTTCAATAAATTTAATTAAATTCACTTATTTCTAGTTACTTTTTCAATGTGGTTATTAGAAAATTTAAAATGTCATTTGTGGTTTGTGTTGTCTGGAACAGTGCTGCTCTAGACACTTGGATGGACCTGCTTTTCTGTGGAGAACACTAAGTGCACCAGAAAAATGCTGGATCTGCAAGATCTGCCCCTTAGATGGCATTTTCCTCCCCTCATGTCAGGAAAATTGTATTTACAGTAAGAACATCTACTCCGCACTCCATTATTTCTGTATTCAGTGAGAATATCCTGAGCAACAGAGAAAATGTTTTTCTATATAGTGGTTCTCAAACTTGGTTTCCCATTAGAATCACCTCTGGGGCTTTAAAAATTTCTACAAATTTAATTAGTTTGAGACTAGAGTTCAAACTAATTAAATAGTAATGTCTTTGGGTGGTACCTGGGCATCTGGGTTTTTTGAAGTTCTACAGATGGTTACAACAATGCACCTGGGCTCTCCAGCATTCCAGAAATCTCTTTATAAGCAAAGTCAGGAGTCAGGGGCTTAACAGCAGGTGAACTTTAATCATATGTGTTTATCTAAAGGTAGCAGAGTCATGGATTTCCTCCACTGTGATCAGATGTCTGAATAAAATGTAGCTTCTTTTATATTCTACATTTGAACTTCCTCATGAGTCCCTGTCCCCATTTGGCACCAAAAACAAAACAACAAAAAACTCTGGCAAAGCCTAGTGACTTCATCTCAGCTAAATTGAATAGTGGCTTTTGAATAACTGGACATCTTAAACTTAAAATGCTCTGTCTTTCAGAATGCCTCCCTGCCATATTCCTTTACTAAGATGGGGCACCTGGGTGTGTAGCAGAGGGACTATGGACAACCTCATGGCAGAGGGGCAGCTGGACCTTCTGGCCTGAGGTTGAACCTGGGACCAGGTCCTGCCAGTGTTTGCTCACATCTGGGCCTTACACATTCTGTGGAGTCTGCTGCCAAAGTCTGTAGCTGTTGGGGCCTGTCCTCTGCTTGCTTCCTTGGCCTTCCTTGGCCCACCTCGGCTCACTGTGAGCTGCACACCATTGGAGCCCACACCATTGCTTCCTAGAAGAGGGCACAGGAAGGCTTGCCACACATCCCACATCCCTTGGGCAAGGCTGGGCTTCTGGGTCCCTGACCTCTCTCTGCCCTCTTCTCCTCCTTGGTAACCTGTGATTAGGTAGGGCCCTGGATAAGTGTCCACCAGAGGGTCACCAATGGGAGGAAGAACAAATCCTAAATCTTTTGTATTCTCTCAACTGATTCAATAGGCCCCTTTCCCAGCTTAGGTCAGGATGCAGGGGGATCCCTCTTCCCACAATCTCCCAGGGCCCACTCTCTACTTCCCCTCCCTCATATCCTACCTTTGTCTGGGGCAGCAAGTCTGCTGTTCCAGATGCTCTGTGCTGAAAGGGTGTCCTCTCTGCTCTCCTACAACAATGTGGCCTCAACCCTCAGGATGTGTTTTGTGCCAAGTTTGAGCCAAGGGAACTTAGAAAATGGTTTTCTCTCATAGCAAAGCCTGGATTTCAAGATCATGGCTTCAATTTTTTAAAAAATCTTTCTTTTGCCAACCTCAAATGGAAACAATACCTTCTTCTCTCCCATTCTAGCACAAATCACATCCTTCCATTTACAATCCCAGGCAGCTGCCTCAGGATGAGGAGGGACAGGGTCAGCCACATGGAAATGAAAAAGAGAAAAGTTCATTAATATGCATTTTAAGATACAAGTATTACTCTTATCCTACATAATAAAGAGGGGATATGCAAATTGACCATCACTCCACCACAAAGATGGCAGTGCCCACAGCGAAGGTGGCGGTTTCTGTAACGCAATATGGCTGCACCCACAGCAAAGGCCGAGTTCCCGTAACGAGCCTTAACAAGCAATCAACAGGGACCTGAGGTTGCGCCCCTCCCCCGCCCCCATGGTGCTTGACAGGGGATCTCAGGCTGCGCCCACCACCCAGCAAGCAGGCCACGCCCCTCCCCCTGGTGCCAGGCCGGGGGACCTCAGGCCACGCCCCCTGCCTGATGGGGCTTGATGGGGAACCTCAGCCTGCCCACACCCCCTGCTCAGCAGGGCTTGACAGGGGACCTCAGGCCATGCCCCCAGCCCCAGTGCCAGGCCAGGGGACCTCAGGCCATGCCCCCCACCCAGCAGAACTTGACAGGGGACCTCAGGCCATGCTCCCCACCCAGCAGGGCTTGATGGGGGACCTCAGGCTGTGCTCCTCATCCAGCGGGGCTTGACGGGGAACCTGAGGCTGCACCCCCCACCCAGCAGAGCTTGGTGGGGGACCTCAAGTCGTACCCCCTGCCCAGTGGGGCTTGACAGGGGACCTCCGGCCACGCCCCCTGCCTGGTGGGGCTTAACAGGGGATCTTAGGCCATGTCCACCACCCGGCAGGGCTTGACAGGGGACCTCAAGGCATGTCCCCACCCGGCTCAGGCTGCGCCCCCTGCCCTGGCGCTGGGCTAGGGGACCTGAGGATGCACCCCCCACCTGGCGGGGCTTGACAAGGATGGGTCTGGCCGGGTCTGGATCTAGCCCAATGGGGGCAGGCCGGTCGGGTCTGGGTCTTGCACAATTTTGAGGCGCACGTGGGTGAGCGGGAATTTGACTCAGTCCCATGGTGAGCCCCAGACTCTGACAGGAGGAAGATTTTCATATACATTTTACTAATTTTCTTTCATCTCTGACACTTCTATTATAGAGAAAGGGCAAATAGCAATATTAAAATATTTCTTCTAATTAATCCCTTTTTAATGTGAACAAATTTTGTGCACTGGGCCACTAGTTACAATTATATAGGAACAGTTTACTGAGTGCCAGTACTGGTTCTGTGTGCTTTACATGAATTAAATCATCTTGATCCTGATCACAACCTAATGAAGATACAGGCACAGAGAGTTTAAGTCACACAGCTGCCAAGGTCAACCAGGGATTTGATCTAGACCAACTCCAGAGTCTGTGCTCTAGACCACTGAACTCTACTCTCCACCCCCCATCCCACAAGGTCCTTTTCCCTCTGCACACCCCCACTGCTCTTTTTGGGAGTCACAAAGATGAATTGCTACCAAAAAAGCATTCTTTTGACATAGGAGACCCAGGAGATCTCACTACTGAAATACTTTTTGGAAGGACTTGGAGTACAATATTTATTTCTATTTTTAAAAAATATATTTTATTGATTTCAGAGAGGAAGGGAGAGAGAAATAGAAACATCAATGAGAGAAAGAATCATTGATCAGCTGCCTTCTGCACACTTAACACAGGGGATTGAGCCCACAACCTGGGCATGTGACCTGACCAGGAATTGGACATGACCTCCTGGTTCATAGGTCGACACTCAACCACTGTGCCACACCAGATGGGCTGGAATACAATATTTAAAAAGTAAATAAATGTGCAGGAAGATGATTTCAGTTGGGTTTATGAGTGATGATTAAATCTCCCCTCCCAACAGTAGTTAATCTCTCACTGGGAAGTCCAAACTCTTTGTATCAGGCTCATTTGAATTTCAGACACTTCCATTGACCTAGTGTGGCTTATTATACAGTATCTGACCCCCCACTCAGCCTTACTCATTGCTGCCTCCTAATTTCCTCTGTTCATCAGCATTACTCGGCCCTGCACAGTTTACACCATCATTTTTGCAGTTATATGTTGCATTCTGATTGTGTCCTACATGTGTATTTTATTTCCCTAACTTGACTGTGAACTCTTTGAGGGTGGGAACTGTACTGTACCCCATATGAGACTCACAGCCCCCATAGTACCTAGCACAGTAGGAAGTACAGAGTTGTGGCTCAGTAAATGTTTGTGGAGTGATCTCCTTGTCTTCATTATTAATTCAGCTCATTTCCCTACTTATTCTACAAACCTTTGAAATTTATACTTAATCTCTGGCTTCCTTTACATTTTAAATATGTGTGCTGGGCTCTGGCTAAACTGCCAGGGTGGAACTTATAGCACTACCAATTCCTTGCTGAGTGACTTTGGGTTACATGCATTCACCCCTCTATGCCTCAGTTTTCACAAATGCACTATGGGAATATAATTGTATTATTTCATAAAGGGGTGTGAGGAGTAAATTAAATAATACACATTCAACCTTTTGACTAGTGCCTGGCACTTTGTAAACATTCAGTAAATGTCATCTGCAAGGAAAGGATGTGTGTTCCTTGTTTACCCTCTGGTTTCTATACCCAACTCACATTTACATGCACATGGAAAAAACACATTTTAAATTTTTTTTTATCCATTCATTCATTTTCTCACATTTTTCAAAAATATGACTGGAAAGGGCCTTCTAACAGTCACACTCTCCTTGGCCACCAGGGGGCAATATTTTATCAGTTATGTACAGAGTGTTGGCAGTTGCCTTGCCCTGGGGCCCAGCCTGACTTTTGGACGCTATCTTAGATGTTGCACATGTTCTTTTTCCTTCCCATTTATTCTCTTTGTTTTGTGAGTGCCTGTTCTTTTTTCCTTTCCAGTTTTTTTTTCCTCTACTGATTGACCCAACTCCATTATGCATCTAACCATTTCCAGAAATATGCACCTTGAAGAAATGTTGTTTAGGCTTACATACCACCCAGCAAGGTGCCCATCAGAAATGATGTTTTTAAAAGAGCAACCTTAAAAATCCTGGGGAATTAAAGACTACTAGTAAATCACTAAATATTAGGTCACTAAAGGAGCAGGGAAGGCAAATGCTCAGCTGGTCTCTCTACTGCAAATTCTTTACTCTTCTCCACTTCAAACCCACTGCAGGCCAGGATAACAATCATGACATCTTTTGCCTCACTGACACTTGCCATGGCTTCAGAGACTTTTTCAGAACAACTTGCCTAGAAATTTCTAGTAGCCAACAAGCCAGAAAGACAAACCCGTGTTTGCCATCCAGGTAGAGCAAGTTTATGGGTTCGAGTTTAGTATAACTGTCCCCCATAACCAAGGTTTGGTTGCCATTATTTCAGTTACTCATGGTAAACAACAGTCTTAAAAAATTAAATGGAAAGTTTGAGAAATAAATAATTAAAATTATTTTGAGAGAAAGAGGACACATTCACATTTTAATCACAGTACATTATTAAAATTAATCTTATTTAATTATTATTGTTAATTTCTGTGCCTAATTTATAAACTTTATCATAGTTATGTAAGCACTAGAGGCCCAATGCACAAAATTCGTGCA